AGGATTACATTTGTAAATTAAATTGATTTTCACGATATATCTTCCGATTAGAGTGTCGGGATGAAAGCCTTTAATTGTGTTATAAAAATGAATAATTGATATGATTGATCCAATCCAATTGAGGGAATTGTGACGCTTCACTGCTTCGAATTATTGATTTTAATTTCACATTTCAACATTAAATTTTATTACACATTTGAGAGAACAATTCAGTCTTTTTGATCCTTTAAATATTCTTCCATCTCCCTGTGGATACGATACCCCAAAGTTGTGCTACAACTATCACATTATTCTTTGGACGTAATCAAGTGCTTAAGATTGAAGAGGTAGAAGCAATTGACTCAGTAGTAGAATGTAACACATATGAAACATAATCATTAAGCCAACCTGGTGTTTTCTTGGTCCTAGTGCTTTTGCCTTGGGATAGTGATAGTAGAAGATGAGTTTGTAGGAGGAATGTTATGGGAATGATAGTTAGGGGAATCTGAGATAGATGCGAAAACATGGGTTATTCCACAACTGGAGGTGGGTGAAGTGTTTGCATCTGCAGTGATAGGAATGACAGGTAAAGGCAATGAAGAATCAATTTGTTTTGAAATCTGATGGTAAGGGAAAAGATCTTCATAAAAAATGATATCTCTAGAAATGTAGGTCTTGTGTGAATTAATGCCATATGCCTTATAAGCCTTTTGACCAGCAACATATCCAAGAAAGATGCATTTATAGGCTTTGGAATCGAACTTGTCTTTATGAGGTGGTGTGTTTGTAACATAACAAAGACAACCAAATGATTTCAACATTGTATAATCTGGTATTTTGTTGTATAGAAATTCATAGGGTGTCTTCCAGTTTAAAGTTGGAGTGGGCAATTGATTTATGATGTAAGCTGCGGTTAGGATAGAATACCCCAAAAATTTTTTGGTAGACAAGATTGTAACACGAGTGATCGTGCAATCTGTAACAAATGTTTGTGTTTACGTTCTACCACGCCATTTTGTTGTGGTGTGTAGATACATAATCTTTGATGTATAATAACAAGACTTGAGAATAGCTGTTGGCATTCAAAATTAATGAATTCAGATCCATTATTTGTTCTCAGCTTTGGATTTTAGTCTGGAATTGAGTCTGAATCAATTTAAAAAAGTTATCCAAGGTTTTTCAGGTCTGATGTTTAGATTGAAGTAAGAAAATTCACCAAACGTGTTGACTTTAGTAGTTGTATAGTCAGAAAGTAATATGCTCCTGTCATTGAAGGCTGTTTGTAAGGTCCCCACAAGTCCAGGTGAATTAATTCAAAAATGTGGTCTGAATATGAATGGCTTTTTGGAAATGGCAATCTCTGTTGTTTTGACATGTGACAAACATCACAAGATTCTTGAATGTTAATGTTAGAAACTGAAGGTAGTGGAATATGTTGTAATATAGTAGAAGAAGCATGTCCAAGTCTATGATGCCAAGTAGACTGCAATTTGCTTGAAAGTGTTACTTTATTAGCAAATATGGAATCAATACATGAGGAATTAAAATGAGAATCAACTTGCAAGGTTTTGTCTAGATTATGTTGTTTATGATAGGAACTTAAAACCTCAGGAGAGAAATTGTGTTTGTCTAAAATGTACAAGCTCCCTATCACTTTGCCTATTGCTAAAACATCTTTAGTCTTCAGGTCCTATAAGCCATAATAGGAGGGATAAAAGGTCAATTTGATGTGTGATGTTTTGGCAAGTTTATTGACCGATAACAGGTTGAATTTAAAGCTAGGCAAAGGTAGTGCATCTGTGAGAACAAGTTTGGAGTTCAAGGTTACATTTCCCATGTGGTATACATTTTTGATAGAACCATCTGGTAAAAATACAGTGGTAGGCTTATGCAATGGTATTAGTCTATCAATCAATTTTGAATCTACACACATATGGTTTGATGCACCTATGTCTATTATCCAAGTACCAGGTTCAATAAAATCAAGTGCATTCAATATGTAATTCAAGGCATAGTGAGGAATATCACTTGCTGAATCTGCAACTTGTACCAAATTGGTGAAGTTCCCCTTTGTAGCAGACTTTCCTTTCATATACTTTGTAATTTCTTGTTGAATCAGATCTGCAATGGAGGATGAGAAGTCACTGGCCTTCGGTTTTATATGCTTATCTGTAAGATCCAAAGGAGTTTCAACCATATGTGCCATGTTTTTATTCAACAATTTTCCTTTCTGTTCTGGTAGCTTCTTAAACCAATCAGGATATCCATGTAATTTGAAACACGTGTCTGCACTATGTCCATTAGAATTGCAGTAGTCACAGTGTCTGTCGAACTTCTTTCCATCCTTCCTTCTAAAATTGTTAAAATTATTCTTCACTATTCCGTCCTTCTTAAAATTTTGTGACTTAATAAACATAGCACTGTGTCTGGTACTCTCAATATATGATATATGAACCTCTCTTTGTTTCTCTACTCTCCAAATCATGGAGTAAGCTTTATTCACACTAGGCAGGGGATCCATCAGCAATATCTGATTCCTAATATTATCGAAAGAGTCATCCAAACCCATGAGCGACTGCATCAGATGATTTGCCACAATGATATTCGAGACAGATTTAGCTGCTCCACAAGTGCATCGAGGAATTGACATTAAACATGCTAACTCATCCCATAATTTCTTGAGTTTAGTGAAATATTGAACTACTGATAGTGTACCCTGGGAGATCGAAGTAATTTCTCTTTGCAATTGATC